TTTAATTTTAATTGTTGCCATTTATTTGTTTGAAGATTAAGTACAAATAATTCATTACTTCGTTGTATACCAACATAACCTCCAAACATATAAAGATTTTCTCCAGCTAAAATACATGTATGACGACCACGTTTAGCTGGTGTAACACGTGAATCATTATTATATTTTAATTCTGTCCATTCTAATGTACGAAAATCAAATGAATGACAATCATTAAATTTTCCACAACCTAAACCACATACAATATAAAGATGATCATTATATAAATGTGCACCACCATATGAACTTCGACGTGGTGGTGCATTTTTTTGATTAACAATAGACCATTGATTTGTTTTGAATGAAAAACGATACATATCATTAAATTTATTATCACCAATACCACCAAATAGATACATTGTATTTTGATAAATAGCAACTGAATGTGCACTACGTGCACGTGGTGGATTTGTACAATGAACTATTTCCCATTCATTACGATCAAATATATATCTATACATATCATTTAATTTACCTGATGAATCCCAACCACCAAATATATACATCATATTATCATAAATACAAGCACTATGTTTACATCGTTTTGATGGAAGTTTTGATTCATCTTTAGCTTTTATTTCAATCCATGTATGTGTATCAAAATCAAATTTAAATAAATCATTATATCGATAGTTACCTAAACCACCAAATATATACATAGAACCATTATAAATAACAGCACTATGACCACTACGTGGTTGAGGTGGAGTATTAATTGTTTCAATACGTGCCCATTCAAGACTTTCATTTGTCGACATTTTGTTATATGACTATGAATCTCTATCTTTATTTAACTCTTATACTTCTACAACTGTTAGTTTTTATCATACTTTTCTTTTCTTTTTTTTTTATTCTTGATGCATACAGCTAGAGAGAAAAAAGAAAATTTTGCTGTTATTTTGATTTTTTTTGCTAAATAAATAGAGTTTATGATTGTTGTCTTTTTTTTAATATTAATAACCATTTTCATTGTCAAGAGATTTGCTGCGTGTATAAGAAAATGAATTATGGTTTTCATTCATAATTAATGACTAAAAAAAAGGAAAAAAGAAATTATATGTATATAAATGAAGAGATTTTGAAAAAATCAAAACAATTTACTATTTTTTCATCTTTTGCTGGTGGATTTCGTAGAAAAAACATCAATGGTGCATAGCAAAAACAAATAAATGAAATAATATAAAGCATACCACGAAAACCAATTGCTTGTACTATAAAACCACTTAAAGCAGGACCTTCAAAAAACAAACATATGATTATATTAAGATAAATTTTTTCGAAGAAAAATAATAATAATAATGATAAAATTTACCTATGGCAAAACCAAGGCAAAATGCAACATCAGCAATAGCATAAACACTACCATAAACAGATGAATGACGAATATCAACTAAATAACCCATTGTTGGCATCATTGATGAATCAACCATACCAATAGCAAAACCAAGAACACCATTGGGAATAATTAAACCATAAATACTTTTAGCCATTGGTACACCAATTAAAGCAATTGATATAAGAAACATACCAATCATACAACATAACCATCTAAAAGTATCAGAGAGTATATATATATATATGTATATAGAGAGAAAAAGATTTTTGTTTGTTGATACAAACCGTCCTATTTTATGAGCCATTGGACCAAATAAATTTGTACCAATTAAATATGAAATTGAAGCAGGTAAAAATGCAGCTCCTAGATATTTATTTTCTTTTTCATATTGAACTTTAAAATTAATCAATTAGTTTACCTTGTTGAAATTCAGTTGCACTCATTGTTGATATCATCCAAATTGGTAATGAAGGTTCTAACATTGCAATACCAACATTACCAAATGAAATTGCACCTATTTTATGATAAATAAATATAATAAAATCATCTATTTACTTTTCTCTACCAGCTGCAACAAGAATATATGGATCTTTGATAAGTGTTCGAAGCGAAGCGCCTTCTATTGGTTCACCGGATACAGCAGGTTGTAATACTGTTAATTGTAATACTAACCATAAAAAAAAAATCTTTCATGTGAATAGACCAAAAATAAAGTAATTCTTACAGCCATCGAATAAACCTAATGCTGCTAAAACTAAAAATGGTGATGCTTTGCCTATAAATTCATACATAAATCCTCCGAATGGTGGACCAACTAAAAAAGAAAAAAATTATTTAATTAATTAAATCTATCTAAATGAATTACCTAAAACACCAAGTGCCAATCCACCTAATGCAGTTCCCATTGCTTTACCCCGTTCTTCATCATCCGGATAACAATCAGCCAACATTCCAAGACCTCAATAAATTTACATAATTGCTTTTATCCTGTTTGTTTTGTATTTATTTACCTGATACACTAGAACAAGCGGATCCAATACCTTGTATTGCTCGAGCAAGAAATAATAGACCAAAACTTTTACTAAAAGCAAATGCTAGAAGGAAAAGAACAATGCTTTTTTTCTTATCATATAAATCATTTCAAATTCTTACTAAGAGTTGATACAAACATAATAACAAATCCTGAAAACATTGGAATACTATAACCAATTCTATTATAGAGAAAAATAAAAATAAGAATAATATATATTGAATTTTTTCGTTTTACCGATTTGTTAATGGTCCAATAAATGGATTTGTTAGTAATTGAACAAAAGCTTTTGATGCAAACATCACTCCGATCCATCGATTTTCCTATTTCAAAAGAAAAAAAGTGAAACAAATCAAATAGAAGAAAAAGAAGATTTTTTTTTTCTGCATGTTTCTCTATTCTTTTTTTTTCATTTCCGCTTCTATTGAATATTAACATAAACTATTATCGAATACGTATACATAAAGACATATAAAAAAAAAAGAAACGGTTTCTTACACGTGCTAAACTAATTGATCGTTGTTTATATTCGTTTTCTGTTTTATTCATAGCCCAATCAACAGCCCAATCACATGTTGCAGAAAGTTCAACTCGAAATTCAGATGGATGGCGAACAAAATAATTTCGTCGTATAAAAAAGTCTCTATTTGAACAATTTTTAGCTAAAAATTTGTATGTATCATCTATTGTTCCTTTTGGATGTTGAAGACGATAAAGATACTCAGGTATAATAGGTACTTTTTTTGATAGAAAAATAATAATAATAAAAGAAAAAGATTAGAAAAAGTTTCTAAAAAAGATTACAAAACTTACCGACTGTAGTTAAGAGCATATTATCAAGAAATAAAGCAACAAAGACAATAAATAAAATAAGTACACGTGATGAACGCCATTTATACCAAAATTCTCTTAAAGACTCAAGAATTGCATGAGACATTTTATTTAACAAATGATGTTTTTTGTTTAACTGAAAAGAAAAACAAAGAAATGGAAATAATGATGAGCAATCAAATTTATCCCTTATTTTTTAATTATACGATAAATCTATATGATAGGATTAGGAAATAAAATGATTGATCTGCCATAAAAAAAACGATCCACCCTACGAGAGAAAAATGACTTTTAAGTGGATTTAACCTACGTATATATATATATATATACATCAAGAATAGAAGTAGAAGAAGAGATGGAATAAGAAAGAATGATCGAATAAAAAAAAGAGAAAAAAGATGATGGTGATGATGATGATGATGATGATGATGATGATAAGTGTTTGTTTGTTTGCAGAGTTCTTGCTTTTGCTCGCATTCTATGTGATCGATAGATGGACTTCCGGTGAGACCACAATTGTTGTCAAAATTTGGGCCCATGGCATTATTTTTTCTTCCCTTTAACCGCCAAAATGTCGTTTAACGTGTTTATCGATATAATTGCTCTATCGTGTCGCTTGTCTTTGTTCTACTCTATATATTGAGACACCATCAAGACGCGTTACATTGCGATTGCAATAGAGCTCACTCCAGTTCAAAACCATGATTTAGTATTTATGGATTCATTGACAACGAGAAAGAAATAGCGTGAGAAGGAAAAAATAAGAAAAGAAATGTCAAATACAGACCTATATACACACGTCAAAATTAAAGTATGGGAAAATGGGCAAATTGACAATGTAGTTCCAAGTAGATTTTGTTTGTTCCGTCACAATATGTGACGGACGAAGACGATGACGTCTTTAAATGAATCCGTTATATGAACGCATATTACTTTGATAATGGAAAGTAGGCAAGAACAAGCGAAGAAAAAAATTGATTAGAAATTTTCTTTCTTTTTTTTTTTTTTTGAACGATTGAATGGGCAACATAAACACGCATTTATATAAAGGAAATCGTCATAAGGCATCTGTTCAACAGCAATATCAAGAATAAAAAGACAAATAGTACTAATTCTATTCAATATCAAATTCAGAAAGAATATATATTTATAATTAGATAAATATACTTGAACATATTTTTAAACAAAGCATAGCCAAGTATTTTTCTTTCTATCAAATTAATACTGTTATATTCGTATTAAAACTAATTCCAAATCATACTTGCCTTTTTTCACTAACGAATGGATTCTAGGATAAAAAAGAAGCTTTCCTATCCGATCGAAGAATAAATGAACAAACTAAAAGCTTATCTAATGTCTTTTTTCTTTTGTTTTTTGATCAAACTCTATGTGAATGCTTTGGGTTTCTTTTGAAATTTGATCACATACACATTTATATATATATATATATACATAAAAAACTTCGGGTGTCACTCAGAGAATCAGTCGAGTTGTTATGATAATTCGCTAGTCAACTGAGCAACATAGGAATAATAATAACAACAACATCAACAACAAAAAGCAGAAATGAGAAGAAAAGACGACATGAAGATGATCATCATCTGCATCATGACGACTTCCTTAGATTAGCATAGATAAAATCATGCGTTCACAAAAAGTCTTCAATAATGCCTTTGTCATACATATAGAGAAATACAAAAATATTTTAATCAACCATTATCTATATATTCAAACAACGAAAAAAAACAACATTCATTACATATTTTATATACCAATTAAAATAAAACTAATTATGATTGTTAGTGTATGAATAAGAATATTGCTACCACTACAAATAAATATTATAATAAGTAAAGGAAATAATGTTGATTCATTGATTTTTGATAACATATTATATTCAGAAATAGCCTGAAGAAAAAAAAGATTATCTTATTATTGTAAAATATCTTGTATAGAATCAAGAAAAACCTTACCCCATAAGTAATATAAATTAAATGAATGATGTGTATTAGTGATAATATATAAAAAATAGTAGAGAAGACGACATAAGGAGTTTTTTTAATTGCCTGAAATTGATAAAAATCAAAATGAAAAATTTATTTGGTTTCTAATTACAAAAAGAAACATTTTTACCATAAACATTCCCGTACATAACCATAATAAAGTAAGAGGTATTCCAATTGATAATAAGAGAATTTCATAAAGACCAAAATCTGATTGATTACGAATGTTCAATATTAATAAAGAATTCTATACAAATATTAAAAACAACAAAAGACATCATTTTCTTTGAAAATTGTCTTCTTCTATATATTTACTATTAGCATAAAATCAAGATATAAAAACCAAGAAAATGTTGTTGATCTTGGATTTATCATATCTTTGTCTGGTCTATAATAAAGAAAAAATAAATAAAAGTCAATATTAAATATATATAAATTAAAACAATAAATATACAGAATATTCATTCGATATTCATGAACCATAACATTCGTCCATGGAAGTAATAAGATTAATAAAGTCAATATAAAACCTAATCGAACCTATTGAAAGAAAAAAAAAAGTATTATGTACGAACAATAGTGACTAGACATGTGTGGGATCAAGTTTTTCCGGCCCCGCTTCCGGTAAAATTGTTTTTTTCGGTCTCGATGACCAAGACTCGTTCCACATATGTCTAGTAGTAATTGTAGTTTTTTTTTTTACAGTGATCAAATGGAAATCTTCATTTGGATGATTATGACATAATGAAAATCGAATGTAAAAATGAACGCCAGTATAAGCACATAGAAGTATAATTGTTAAAGTTGTTAAAAATGCATTAGTAATACCTATGAAAAAACAAACCCAGGAATGATGACCATTTGATTCGTGTATTTCTATACAACTTACGACAGAAAATAGCTGTTGAAAGAATAGAAATAAGAACAAAAACTAATAGAAAATAAAAAGTTATATTTTTATATGATAAATTAATTTTAATGATGTCAAACCCGAATGAACAATAAGTAAAAGACAAATTGCAAATTCATAATTTTCTTTTTTCATTTCTCGAATTTGTTCAAGAGTAAGAAGAATTATAACAGAAATAGTTATAATTCCTATTATTGAATAGAACCATCGTTGAAAATTTAATTTTTGATTTATTCGTTTGAATTTTTCTTCTACGAAAGGTTTATAATTCATATTGATATTGAAATAATAAAAACGATAATGACAATATCTTTTGTGATTGCTTACTATACTCAATATGGACAAATATTATAAACATTTTGTCCTTCATTTGATTTCATTTATATCAAGTACGTGTCATTAGAAAATAGAATGTGTAATGAATAAGAGAAAAAAACAAAAATATTTTCTTCAATGTCAAATGTTTATTTAATTTAAATAACTTTCATTCATATTGAACAGTTGTACGTGTTTATCCAGATTTGAATTACTCTTATACATCATATATGAAATTCTAATAGATGAACGACCTTACATCATGTAAGAAGTCTTGAGAGATGGTAAGCTAAGTTTTTACAATATGTTTTAAACAACAAGGATGTTACACTGTATTCAATATGAAATAAAGAGTAAATACATGAGATCTTTATTTTTTATGATCAACTTTACAATATTAGGTATTGATTAAAATTACTGACGTGTGTATTCTAAACCAGTCAATAACGATAAAAATATTTGAACTGTACTTTGATTCTTCGATTGGACAGTCTTTAGGAAAAAATATATTAATTCAAAACGATTAGATAAAATTTTTCTGGCTTTTTGAATGTGTATTAATGAAAAAGTTGAGATCTGGACTATTGATAACAGTAAGACTTTCATGCTTTGAATGTTTTCCATTGATTTTACTTTTTTAGAAAAAAAAAATCTTCGACTTTACTTTAGGCTTTTAAAAAGTCTAAAAAGAATTATACATTTCAGAGTTCATTAGGAATGTGCACGTTTTACAACCACAGGATGGTCCATAAATAGTACTAGGATGAAAGATTGCAATATATCCGCTTCGGTTTGCTCAAATGAACTATTTTTTTTTGGTTAGCAGTAGAAGCAACTTATTTAACATTTTTTTTTATACGTATAATGTAAATAAATACAATTGTCAAGCTATATTTTTGGCTTCAATAAAGAAATTTCATCTAATATCAAATAAACAAAATGCACATGAAGCGTTTCATAGATACTTAAGTTTCAGCCGTAATTCAAAAGAATAATAAGAAGAAATCGAAACGAAATTTATAAATGATACTTTATTGATGCATATGGAGCAAATTTCCAAAGCTAGTGAGTTTAAATATTAAAATTTGTGTCGTATTTCAATTCTTTAGGCACTAACTTCCTTGAAAAAATGAGCATTTCATGTTTGAAAATCCAAAATTTTATAACCGTTGACTTTTAAAGCAAATAATTCTGAAAATTTGTTCTATGTGCATCAATAAAGTATCATTTGTAAAATTCGTTTCTATTTCTTCTTATTATTCTCTTAGATAACCATTGAAAATTAAATATCTATGAAACGCTTCATACGTATTTTTTTTTTACTTGACAATAGGTGAAATTTCTTTTGTGAGGCGAAAAAAATAATTTGACAGTAGTATTTGTTTACATTATCCGTATGAAAAAAACCATTAAATAAGCTTCTACTACTAACCAAAAAAAAATCAGCACATTCGAGCGAATCAAAGCAAATATATTTTAATATTTTACCTAGTTTTATTTATGGTCCATCCTGTATATACGAAATGGAAGGATAAATTATAAGTCTCCTAACAAGTTTTGTAAAATACGATTCAAGTGAAATGTTAATAAGTATACTAAATGCTTTTCATGACTTATTAGAATAAACATTTCTATGTTGGATTTTACATAATATTTGGAGTTGTTTTCTTGATAATTAAACGAGGTAAAATCATTTTGAATGATTGATATGATTTTCATTAGTTTATTTTTAAAAATAATAGAGAATGATAAGCACAAAAACAGATGAATTGTTCGCAGCACCGTATAGTCCAAAATGATAACGAGAAAGTTTTAAGTTTTAGAAAACATGTATTTCGTCTTTTGAGTTTTCTTCATCTTCATTTTGTATTGATGTTTGAACTGATATATGACGCGCTTCAACTTCAATTTCTTCTCCTTCTTCTTCTTTCTTATTCACAACATGTTCATTTTCTTCATTTTCCTCGACAATATTTGATAATTTAATATGTGCTGCACTTATATGTTTAATAACTTGTATTGGATTAATATCCGATTCATTTTGATTATTTATTGATAAAGTTGGGTCAGAATAAGACGTTGGAAAAACTGGTGCAGAATTCGAAGTTGGTAAAGTTTGTGGTGGGTTTATTGTATTTATTAAATTAGGCATTGATGTTGTACTAGCAGCTAATGATGTATTTGATGTTGTTAGTGTTGCGTTTGATTCCAATCCACTATCAATTAAACGAATTTGATCTAATGTTGAATAAAATTTATTTTTAAATGAATAAAAATTTTCTTTTGTTGATGGATTTGCGTCGTGTGTTAATGATGATAATAATTCTCCAACAACAAGTACACCTTCATTTAATAAAAGACTATTTTTAGCTAAGTCATCACGAGTTTCATCTAATCGATTCATCATTTCAAAACGTAACATTTGAATATCTTGTTTAAGTTCTTCAAAGTCACCTTCACGAATTTCATCTTGTTCTTCACGTTGTTTATGTAAAAGAAAACGTTTTATAACACGTTCCATTACTTTACGATATGTTAATGTTTGACTAAGATCAAATGATTTTCGACGCATATAATTATCATTCATATTTAATGTTCGACCATTAGATATTGTTGATATAGGACCATTTTTACCTATATTTAATGTTTGAATATTTGGTGATGGACGTCGAATCATTGCTGGTACACAATTATCACCATCTATCGAATCACGATGCTCAAGACATTCTGGTGAATGCTTTTTTTTACAATAAAATATCCGTTGATAAAGATAATAAATAGTTTTTGGAGTTATAATGAGATTAAATGGTACTGGTAATGTCCCACCTGAAAAATAAATATTTTTTAATAGATATTTCAAAGTCTCCCAACAAAATCAAGCTCTTTTTGTCAATTAAAAGGCGCATGTTTCCTTTTCTACAACATAAGGTTTGCTTCAGAGCTGACGGCTTAGTCTGATCCATCTATATAATATTCGATCTGGTTAATGGACCAGATCAAAATTGTCGACCTGGTTTGTACGTTTTGGAAATCAAATTTTGATATTCAAAAGTACTTCGATTAATTTGATTCAATGCTTGATTCAAATGTCAATTTAGTGTTGTAAAGCTTACATTGACTGATAAAAGAACTTATTTAGATCCAAAAACAATTCAATAGTAAATTTTTCTTTCGTAATATTACAAAAATTGACTCTCAAGTATAAATGTCCTTGTCTGTTAGTATAAGTATTATGTTTTCTCTATATTTTTCTTTTGCTTCTTTATTGTATTCTTGATCATATGTTGTTTTTGCTATCATGATTAGATTTTGTTTTGATTATGCAAAGCAGTACTGATATAATCAAAAACATTGCATTAATTCACGTCTTTCTTATATGAAAAAGTTTATTAGCGCAGCTCCTTTGGGGTTGAAATGTTGAACTCATATGAATTCTATTGCTTCATTACACTAATAGAAAGTACATAAAGTGGCAAATCTCTTACAGACTATACTTTTTTTTCAAGATAATCGATTGTCAGAGAAGCGATCCGTCTTATTTATTTCTGCATTTCGAACAGAAATATTTTCTATTTTTTTATTTGCCTTGTTACTTTTCATTTTCGTATTCTATTTTTCTTAATTTAACTTTATTATTGTTTTAATCACTGGTTTTACTGGTCAATATTTATGATGATTTTCTCTTTGTTTTGATTTGCTATTCGTGGAAGAACTTGTTGTAATCTTATTATCTTTATGGAAATAAATTATGTGAATAACTGACGTTAGAATGACATATGAATACTGAGTTATAGAATTAAATGTATTCGAAAAATCAGCAGCATCAATCAACCTGCTTAGGCCTGCAGGCCAAGTCAGAAAAAAGTGATCTGATAGCAACTATGATTTATTCGAGTTAAGTATTAAAATTACAAATTTATCTAAGACTTTTACAAGTTATAACATATTATATTTATGAAATGCATTCATTATGCCACTTACATTTTACGATATCATTGTTCTCGGCTTTGTCTACATTTTTTTTTTGGAACGGATAAGAGATAGTTGATTCTTAATTCTATTTCGCTAGTATCTGTCTATGAAAAAGGAAAGGAAATATTACTCCTCGGATTTAATCAGTGAGTGTTAAAAAAAGTCTTCTTGTCACAATCTTTACTCAAAATTAGGATCGATAATTACAAGAAAAAGATTAGTTTACTTCTGATTTCAATATTCGATTTTATGTTCATTATATCGATTCGAAGAAATATTTTGATGAACTTTACCCAAAACTCTAAACGAATCGAGTAACATATTTTATACTTGCTTTATATAGGCAGAAATCTTAACTTTATAGATTAGTGTTTAATCGGAAAGTTCGATCTATATTTGAATGCAAAGTTCTTAATGTGTATAGCTTAGAAAAAGTCAATTTCTCTTGTTATGTTTCAATAAATATTGCTTGTAGTACAATTCCTAAAAGAACTGTTCATTATAGACTATTTAAGATTTTCTTAGAAAATTTGAAACATCAAAAGTTTTTCAACTTTGAACTAGTACAAAAAAAATTCAACCCTGACCGTGAATAATTATACTAAAAAGGAATAATATGATGAGTGTCGATTTAATGAAGCTTTACAATCGAATATTAAAACAGATGTTTTATAGATTTAAGGTATCTGAAGAAGTATTACGTTCACAACTAATAACTATGGAAATCAAAACAATTCTATCTAGATCTCAAAGTTTCACCGATCAAATTTGAATTGGATATTTCAGTCAATTGAGTAAACGACATTTTTGTCATAAAATTATATTATATACATTTGAATAAGTGTCCATATGTGATCAACGGTTTATTTTCTCGATAAAAAAGTTCTTAGAATAGCAAAACGCTGTTTCCTAAACTCATTGGAGTATTCTATTTAATATTAAATTTATTTTTCATATTTGACTCAAACTCCATATCACTTATGATG